GCATGGCGTTGCGCCTCTCCCAGGGCAGGGATAGTGGGGCACAGAGCCCAGTTCACCTCTACCCCATGCACAGATCTGGGAGGCATGTGTCCCCTGGGCCTCTCCTGAGGTGCATGCAGCGGTGGGAGCCCCCCCACACCCCGGACAAGCTACCCGGGTTCCGGGCATCCCATAACCTGTCCTGGAGCCCCATTTGCCCCTGCCCCATTCCCTCCCTCTCTGAGGGCCTCAATCTGTGCCCCCCCACATCCCTCCCCCAGCTTACCTGGTGTGGTGGGCAGTGTTCCGCATGCCTTCTGGTTGCGATCCTGGCTGCATGCAGGCTCTGTCTCTGTTTGTGTGTGCCAGCCCGCGCTCGGGTTGCCCTGCATTTGAGGGGGCTAAGCCCATTAGCTCTGGCCTTTCGCTGCCTATGCTCGCAACCCTTAAAAATCACGGTGTGGTCTGAATTTTGTGGTTTTCATTCAGTCCGTGAAATCACGATTTTCTCAGGGCCCTAGATATTAAGGCATACGTAGTTGGTTTAAGCACCACATCCAGGTGCTGGCCCATGGTTTATTAATGTAATTAATCTGTTTCCATTTTCCCTGTGTTTCTTAAGGGTGATATTAATGGTTCAGGCTTGATGATCGAGTGTAGATGTTCACTTGCATCTTGTTGTGATGTCAGTTGCGTGTCTCTTTAAAACTTTGTAGTACTTCCATGATTAGGATCCTGCTTTTTTCTCTATAAGGTTATTAAACTGCTTGGCACAGAAAAAGGAAAAAAGAACAAAACAAACTTGGTTTTCCTGGTGGGGAATCGAGTACTGAAGTCTGTTGAACGGAGTCATAGCACTGAGAAGACTCTCACTTCACTGCTCAAGTAATAATACCCTTTCCCTTTTCTCTCCCTCTTTCAGCCTTGTTGATCCTTCTCTCATGAAGAGATGGCACAGGGCCTTAGAGCAGGGATGGCCCACCTGTGGCATGTGTGGCACGGGCAGCTGCTCTGTGTGGCAAGCAAGCCCTCAGTAAAGGGAGGTGCTGGAATGGAGGCAGAGGGGCTCAAGCATCCTGCCCTGTGGAACAGAGTTGGGGTAGGACACTGCTGCTGGAGGAGGTGTGATTTGTAGCTGTCCAGGCAAAGTTAACTCTTCCCTGGCCCTGCAGCTGCTGTAGAGTTCAGGGCTTTGGATCCTGGCTTGCAATATGAAATTGCAGCAGTCATAGAGTGGCTTATACATTGTGGTCTATGCTGTGGCTCCCATCAGTGGAGCTCTTTTTAGACAGTGCATTAACAGCCCTTAAGCTGTGCCTTACTCTTTCAGGAATGGGCCAGAGGAACATGTGGAAGCTGTGAAGAGGCTGCAGAATTCTGTGAAGATGCTTCAGAAGGTACAGCTGGACCCAGTAAAACAGACTGTGGTTACTTTTTCAAGGGCTTGTGCCTTCACAGTGGTGTTCTGAATAATTTTCATTGGTTAGAATTGACTCTTAGACTCTTTCTTAATGAACTGGAGGCTATGAATATTGTGGCCTCTACTGCCTTAGGGCACCCATTTCAAACCTTGTCTACAACACAGGAATGTTCTTTCCTTTCAGAACAACTTGAACCTGCTTAGAGACCTAGCTGTTTTGACAGCCCAGAGCTTCAAAAGCAACCCGAATCGAGGCCAGCTGTTTGTATTACACAGGTAAGGCATTATGGATAGGAGTGGGCCTGCTGGGTCAGTGGTGCTCAACCTTTTGGCCCCATGGGCTAAATAAATGACGCAGGGCTTGTCCATGGGTTGGACTGGACTCTGCATCCCAAGATTGGACCCAGGCACCTAGATCCAGACTGCACTGCCCCTGCCTGGCCCTGTGTGCTTAGATCGGGGACCTAGAACCACATGCCTCTGCCCAGCCCTGTGTGCCTCTTTCACCTGGCCCCACGTGATGGGATTGGGGTCTGTGCTGCCCTGTGTGCCAGTTCTAGCATGTGGTGCCATGGCCTGTGGGACTCCAGATGAGCCAGATGACAAGGGGCTGAGGACCAGGTCTGGCCTGCTGGCTGGGTGTTAAGCACCCCTGCCCCAGGTTATAAATCCCACTCCCCTGCAGCTGTGGGCACGCATATAATGTGTGGTAACTGCATCCCATTCAAGGCTTTTTACCACAACACCGCTGCTACATAAGGGAGAAGATAAAAAAGGTAACCAGACTTTTAGACAAGCTCTGTCTGGGTCTGCTGAAAGGGCTTGTAATATAACAAGACTGTATTGCAGTTGTTTGGATTCTGCTGGTTTTGTAGCTGAACAATGCATTTATCTGTCTGATCTCTCTCTGCCCAAAGCATTTCCAGTAAAATTGAAGAGGTCTCTGCTAAACAAGAAGCACTTTAAGAATCATAACTCACACTGGTTGGAAATCCTGAAGGTTTTGCTTCAGACATTACTAGTCTGGTGTTGAGATCCCAAAGCTGTGGTCTCCAGGAGCAGCTCGTTCATGCAGAGTCTGGGTGTTGGTTCCCTGACGGTCTGAAAGCCACCAGGAGGGAACACACTAAAAATCAGCAAAATCATGCCAGGACAGTTGCAGCCACTGCTGCTGTCTAGTCAGTTTGGGACTCCTGGGCAGGTTTTCAGTGTTAGTTGGATCCTTTATACCATGGAATCTCCAAAATGCTTTTTATTTTCTACAGGAAAGATGGTGACACTGAGTTCATGAACATCATTGCTAATGAGATTGGGATGGATGTGAGTATTCTATGTTGCTGGTACCTCAGCCTGGCCTAGGGCTCCACAGTGTTTGCTACCACATAGGAACCTAACCAGTCCCTGCTACAGATTCGCACAGAAACAGATTTCTTTATCCATTAAAGATGCTGCAGCACAGGCCAGAGCTGATCATACCCCCCCCCGGTGCATGACAACCATGATCTGGTGGACCACCCCTTCCTTGCTGGAAGATGGAAGCTCATTTTCCATGGTTTCTTTCTGTAGATCTTGCCAGCAGCCAGGTAGAGGTGAACATGGAAATGTTTCAGTGGGCTGAAGGCTTTTGTCACCCTTAGAGTTACACAGGGTGTGTCTACATGTTGCTGTATGGTGATGTTGCTACAGCACCATGCTTTAGTACTTCCTTTTGGAAGTACTAAAGCACGGCATACTATGGGCTGTTACTGTGTTGTGTGTGCTGTGGATGGGTAAATTTCCCAGCTATGTCACTGTAGTGGTGCACTATACTGGGGGAGCATGTAGCTGGTGATCAGGTGCAGACCTGCGTGATTGCCACATCACCATAGCCTGCCATACAGTGATGTGTGGACATGCCCACAGAGACCCTATAGCCCATTTGACTTGGATCCCATGCTGTCAGTGTTCCCCAACTCCCATAATAAATTTCTGTGCCCCAGAACCAAGTGGAAAGTTGACCTGGAGTGAAAAGCACAAAGCTCTTCTACTCCACTAAGGGAATGAGACCCCCAGAAATCATCTTGCCATCCAATTGCAGCAAGGAGTGACCAGGAACAATGGTCACAAGCTGGCGGAGGGAAGGTTTAAGTTAGACATCAGGAGGCGCTACTTCACAGTCAGGGCGGCTAGGGTCTGGAACCAGCTTGCAAGTGAG